CGCACCCCAGGTACATGCCCTTGACGGAAATCGAACCTGGGACCTTCCAGTTCGCTGGCCGACGCTCTATCCACTGAGCCAAACCGGTTTCGGCTCTTAGGTGTAGTTTTTAGAACTGTTTTACCTTTTCCTACCCACCAGTTCTCACTGTTAAGTTTGTCAGTTTAGCTGCTTACAGAGGCTCCTCTTCATTTCTCTTCCTAATTGACTCTCTAGTTTCCAAACTTAATGCACTTGCTAGCTATATGTATAAAGTAGGTGTAAATTGCTCTTTAATAAGGTTGTTGTGGGTCTTTTGTGAGTAAAGTCTGTGCCATTAGTGTGTTAGGCCTTGGGGAAACTATTTTTGCCAGTGAAAGGACCCTTTTTGGGGGAGGAAAGTGCCTGATTTCTGGCTGGGTGAGGCATTGTTGTGCTGCATTTGTAGAAAGGAAGCATGCTAAAGAGTTGTTAGCTATGGTTGGCAGCTCTAACTAGGCTTTTTGCGATTTCAGTAAAGGGGGATGATGTACTTGGTTGTAGAAACTCCTCTGAGCTCAATGGGTCAGTAAGTAAAAGGGGGTATTGATGGGTGGCTCTGTGGCTTGTGTGATGGGAAAAGATGGAGGAGGAGCTCCGGGAAGGTAGCTCTTGTTGATATAACCCTCCAGAAAAAATGCATGCATATATGCGCAAAGGCATATACACAGATGGATTAGCAGAAGGATTTTGAATTTGATTTATATCGGTTCTACTTAGCAGTAATGAAAACAGTATTCCGTTGTATTTAGCAGACCTACCTGTCCAAAGTATTCTGCCGGGTGCTGTGGCGGATAGTAAATAAATAAGACATGGATCATGCTCTCAAAGGGCCAGGACATAGAAATATGGAAGAGTGAACCAAGGGTAGTTAGGAGTCCTTCAGTTGCAAGAGATAGAAAACCCAACTCAAACCAGCTTAGCAAAAAGGGACTGAATTGGCTTCTGGCACAGCAGGAGGTAGGACTCAGATGGGTTCTATCTGTTGCTCCTGCCTGAGCTGGGCTTGGCTGGGCTGGTTACCCTGCTGGTGTGGCAGTAGCATCCCTCACATCCCACCTGCTCACAGAGCAGAGTCATCTTTTTTGGAAGGACTAGTAAACATTTCACTGCTTTTTATTGGCTCTGACCAAGCCATGTGGCCATCTCTGAGCCAATCACTGTGGTCAGAGGGTGGAGCCTGGGGTTGGCACCAGATAGATGCTAAGATCATTGGCCAAGATTGGGGGATGGGTGTTTACAATCAAAGCTGAATGGTGAATGCATGTTGGCAAGCCCAAGAACTCACCAATGTTTCCACAAAGTGATAATAATAGATGTGAGCTGAGACTAGTTGCCAGTCTCTAAACTCTTTATCAGGACGCTGTAGATTGAACTGTAATTCTTTTTTAAAAAAAATATATTTTTACTGATTTCAGAGAGGAAGAGAGAGGGAGAGAGATAGAAACATCAATGATGAGAAAGAATCATTGATTGGCTGCCTCCTGCACGCCCCCACTTGGGACCGAGCCCATAACCCAGGCATGTGCCCTTGACCGGAACTGAACCCGGGATCCTTCAGTCCACAAGCCAACGCTCCATTCACTGAGCCAAACCAGCTGGCCAAGCTGTAATTCTTAGATTTGGGTATTATCTGTATTTTGAGCCTTGAAGAAAGTAGAGTGTAGTGCATCAGACCATAAATTCTGGAGGCTGGTTTTGAGTCCTGGCTCTGTTACAGCTGGGTCATCTCCTATCTTCTTCTTTTTTTCTTTTAATATACTTTTATTGATTTCAGAGAGGAAGGGCGAGAGAGACAGAAAAATCAATGATGAGAATCATTGATCAGCTGCTTCCTGCATGCCCCCTACTGGGGATCGAGCCCGCAACCCGGGCATGTGTCCTTGATTGGAATCAAACCTGGGACCCTTCAGTCCAAAGGCCAACTCTCTATCCACTGAGCCAAACCAGCTAGGGCTCCTATTTTCTTTGAGTCTCAATTTCCTTATGGAAAAACAGGGACAATATTGGTGTTTTGTCATAGAGTTTAATAAAAATTCATTGGAAAGAATCAAACACTATGTACTGTGCCCACACGCAATTGTTGTTTTTCATAAATTAACTCAGTTGGACAACCTCTTATTTCTGTTAGGTCCAAAACAGCCCACATCATTAAAGACACTACTGAACCAATGTTTGGGAAAGGATTTTCTTTTTAAATAGATTTTTATTGATTTCAGAGAATGAGGGAGAGGGATAGAGAGGTAGAAACATCAATGATGAGATAGTCATTGATTGGCTATTTCCTGCATGCCCCATACTGGGGATTGAGCCCAAAACCTGGGCATGTGCCCTGATTGGGAATTGAACCGTGAGTTCCTGGTTCATAGGTTAATGCTCAACCACTGAGCCACACCAGCCGGGCAGGGAAAATTTTTTAAAAAAAATATTAGCCGAAGCCGGTTTGGCTCAGTGGATAGAGCGTCGGCCTGCGGACTGAGGGGTCCCGGGTTCGATTCCGGTCGGGGGCATGTACCTGGGTTGCGGGCACATCCCCAGTGGGAGATGTGCAGGAGGCAGCTGATCGATGTCTCTCTCTCATCGATGTTTCTGGCTCTCTATCTCTCTCCCTTCCTCTCTGTAAAAAAAAATTTTTTTTCAATAAAAATATATTTTAAAAATATTAAAAGTGAACATCTTATTTGTAAGGTTGAGATTTGTGAATCAGCTTTTTAAAAATCTTGGCAGAGATCAGGCTACTCCGGAGCAGCAGCAGCTGGTGAAGCAATGGAGATGCAATCCTACTATGCCAAGCTCTTGGGGGAGTTGAACGAACAGCGAAAGAGGGATTTTTTCTGTGACTGCAGCATCATTGTGGAAGGGCGGATCTTTAAGGCCCACAGGAATATTTTGTTTGCCAACAGCGGCTACTTCCGAGCCCTGCTCATTCACTATATCCAGGACAGCGGGCGGCACAGCACCGCCTCCTTGGACATTGTCACCTCCGATGCCTTTTCCATCATCTTAGATTTCCTGTATTCTGGGAAGTTGGATTTGTGTGGGGAAAACGTGATTGAAGTTATGTCGGCCGCCAGTTACCTACAGATGAATGATGTGGTAAACTTCTGCAAGACATACATCCGGTCATCCTTTGATATCTGCCGAAAGATGGAGAAGGAGGCTGCTGTGGCTGCAGCGGTGGCAGCGGCAACTGCAGCTGCAGCAGCTCATCAGGTTGACGGTGGAAGCCCCAGTTCAGGCACAGAAGGGGCCTCCTGTGATACCAAGAGCCTGGTCTCCTCTACAGCCAAGGAAGAAGAGTGTGTGGACTGTCCGAAGGAATCCCCTTGTGGTGACTGCCGCCCCCTGGAACCGGTGGGGAAAGACAGCGAGGGCAGTGGCTCGGCTGACGGTGACCTCTCTGCTCTGCCCAAGCAGATAGAGCCCAAGGTGGAGTTTGATGCTGACGAAGTGGAGCAGGTGGAGGTTGGTGAGCAGCTGCAGCAATATGCTGCTCCACTGAACCTGGCCCACATGGAGGAGGGTTTGCCCAGTGGCCATCCCGTGGACGTGTCTTACGGTAACTACCACGTGAAGCAATTCTTGGAGGCCCTCTTGCGCAACGGTGCTGTCCAGAGCAAAGATGATGCGGATCATCACTTTTCTCGGAGTTTGGAGGGAAGACCAGATGGTGTAGGAGGAGCCATGAGTTCCATGATGGATGTCCCGACCGACTGGTATGGCGAGGATTCAGGTGAGTTCCATTAGCATTCATCGTCTCTGCTGGTCATTTAGCACCCACATCTGTGCCTTATAGTCTCCCATCATCATCGTCATCATTGTCATTACCATCATCATTACCTCCATCATCATCACTAATTGCCATCACCATCACTATCACTGCATTATCTCCACCACCATCACAACCAATAGGTATTAACTGAGTAGGGCATTGTTTCTTCATGTATGTTAGTATTTTACCTCTCCAACTAGAGTATAAGCATGTTGAGGGGCAGTTTGAAGAAATGGAAAGAATCTACTATCTTCCACTAACCAGCAGTGGGACTTGGGTTAAATCATTAAATCTCTCTGAACTTGTTTGTTCAGGAGATAATCATCCCTATCTTGCCTTTTTTACAGGGTTGAGGACCAATTGAGACGGTTTTCATAATTTTTCTCTCACATATAATAGGAAATTTATTCTTTGTGTCAACCATGGTGCCTGACGCATAACAGACATTCGTAACATGTTATGGTTGATGGTATGATGTATTTGAGAATATTTTAGAGTTGGCATTTGGCTTCATTTGAGTAAGTTTCTGGGGTTTTTTAAAATATATTTTTATTGATTTCAGAGAGGAAGGGAGAGGGAGAGAGAGAAACATCGATATGAGAATGCAACATCAATCAGCGGCTTCTACCATGGATCGAGCCTGAAACGCAGGCATGTGCCCTTAACCAGGAATCAAACTGGCAACCTCCCAGTGCACAGGACTGTGCCCCACCAACTGAGCAACACCAGCCAGGCTGGCACATGTGTCCTTTATTGAATCTTACTAGTATTCTTTAAGGGACAAACAACCAGATGAGTAGGCTACAGTGAAGAAATCTCATTATTTTTATTTTTTTTAAATATATTTTTATTTTTTTAGAGAGGAAGGGAGAGGGGAAGAGAGAGATAGGAACATCAATGATGAGAGAGAATCATTGATTGTCTGCCTGCTGCATGCCCCCTATGGGGATGGAGCCCTGACCGGAATCGAACCGTGACCTCTTGGTTCATAGGTTGAAACTCAACCACTGAGCCACACCGGGCCAGGGAAGAAATCTTATTTTTATAAGAGAATTAAGGCACTAAGATACTTCTAGGTATTATCTCAGTGATGCTTCTTAGCTTTATTCTGGGATTCCAGGTAATATTCAGCCCCTACAGCTACCACAAATGCAGCAAATCCCCATTTAAATCCTTTTATTAATGAAATAACAAAGGAAACATTGTTTGCTAAGCCACCCCTATATCTCCAAGTTTCATTGCAGTCCCCATAGCCCTCTTACACCCAGCTTTTCCTGTATGGTTTTTAATGGTAACCCTTCTATCTTCCATGTTTTAATCTGGAAGTTCCATTTTACTGTAACCATGTTCCATGTCTGACAGCAATCTAACCTCTCAGGACATTCAATATTTAATCCTCCAGGTGAATAAATTTCTTGTATACTTTGTTAGGCTTTTTTGTTTTAAGAGAACTTGTGTTCCTGAACAATTATGAAAGATGACTTAGCTCTTCTTAATAGTGAGCTAATTGTGTTGTAAAATGTCTTATAGGAGATAGAATACACTTGGCTGTCACCTTCCTGATAAAAGTACCCTATAGCTTCTAGAACAGCGGTTCTCAACCTGTGGGTCGCGACCCCTATGGCAGTCAAACGACCCTTTCACAGGGGTCGCCTAAGACCATCCTGCATATCAGATCTTTACATTATGATTCATAACAGTAGCAACATTACAGTTATGAAGTAGCAACGAAAATAATTTTATGGTTGGAGGTCACAACATGAGGAACTGTATTTAAAGGGCCAGAAGGTTGAGAACCACTGGTCTAGAACCTGAAGCCAAGAAATTAATGAATCAAAATTCTTATACACCTTTCAAATTGGAACAGTGAAAGTATTTTAAATAAGGCAGATGAGCTGCTTTTATTTGTTACTAGTGAGCTGTCTTTAGATTTTTTAATTTCATTTTTGTAAATATATATTTTTATTGATTTCAGAGAGGAAGGGAGAGGGGGAGAGAGAAACATCCGTGATGAGAGAGAATCATGCATCAGTTGCCTCCTGCACACTCCTTATTGGTGATCAAACCTGCAACCCGGGCATGTGCCCTGACCGGAAATCGAACCCATGACCTCCTGGTTCATAGGCCGATGCTCAACCTCTGAGCCATACCAGCTGGGCTCATTTTATTTTTTTTGAAGCAAGAACACTGTGTATGTCTGATTAAAATTAGACTTGAGCCGTGGCCAGTTTGGCTCGGTGGATAGAGTGTCAGCCTGTGGACTGAAGGGTCCCAGGTTTGATTCCGGTCATGGCACATGCCTGGGTTGCGGCCTAGGTCCCTGGTAGGGGTCATTCAGGAGGAAGCCGATCAATGACTCTCACACTGATGTTTCTATCTCTCTCTCCTCCCCTCCCTTCCTCTCTGAAAGTAATAAAAATATATTTTTAAAAAATTAGACTTGAAAAACTTAAAAATGCCATTTCTGGTTCTCAGAGACACTGTGTTAACCAACATTTAGAAGGTAGCAGCTGTTTTCACGGAACACACTATGGGAACTTGTTGAAGTCTCGTTTCTCTGTACATAATAGCACTTCACAGATTGTAATCACTGCTTAACATTCATTGGAGCTTCATCATGTCCATGAGTTTGGCAAAGGAAGTGTAGAGAAGCTGGGACTCAGAAGGGTTTAGTGAGTTTCCTGAGCTGCAGAGCTGTAAGTGGCACAGCTAAAACGAGAAACCTGGTCTGGCTTCACTTCACTCATTACACAAACTGAAGGCAGCACAAGTGGATAGAGGATTTCAGTGCAGTGATTTTGTCTTTCAACGCCCTCTGCCTGTATGGACAAGTATCAAAAAGTAACTCAGTTGTGTGCCATCCTCATCAAGTCCTGTCTGTTAGCCTATAAAGTCAGGTTTCCAACTACAGGGTGTTGTGGCCAGGCAGCCACCTTGGCCCCTGGCCATACCTCTTGTCTGCCAGGTTTTTATTCCACTCACACAACTCCAGGCTAAACTCACTCTACGTGCCAAGGCACAGAGTAGGACTGATATGTTTGGTCATTCATTTTTTTTTTATGTATATATTTTATTGATTTTTTACAGAGAGGAAGGGAGAGAGAGAGAGAGTTAGAAACATCGATGACAGACAAACATCGATCAGCCGCCTCCTGCACATCCCCTACTGGGGATATGCCCGCAACCCAGGTACATGCCCTTGACCGGAATCGAACTTGGGACCTTTCAATCCGCAGGCCAACGCTCTATCCACTGAGCCAAACCGGTTTCGGCTGGTCATTCATTTTTTTAAAATATATTTTTTTTTATTGATTTCAGAAAGGGAGAGTGAGAGAGAGACATCAATGATGAGAGACAATCATTGATAGGCTGCCTCCTGTATGCCCCACACTGGGGATCGAGTGCACAACCCGGGCATGTGCCCTGACCGGGAATTGAACCGTGACCTCCTGGTTCATAGGTTGACACTCAACCACTGAGCCATGCAAGCCAGTCTGGTCATTCATTTATTTGCTCAGATATTTGAGTAGCTTCTTGATGAAGCTACAAGGATAAGTCAGACATGAATCCAGCCCTTAACGAATTTAGAGGAGATGGGACGTGTATAATCACATGATCTAAAGGTACTAGGGCTGGAAGACAGATGGAAGTGTGAGTTTCATAGCTATCCAAAAGCTGGAGAACTGGCTTCCTACTGGGAGATCAGGGAGGCTTTCTGAATGTGGCATCTGAGGATAAGAAGAGACATAGAAAGAAATTGACTAGCGTCAGATCATGGAAAATCTTTAGTGCTAAGGGATGAGGTTTTTATCTGTAGGCACAGGGGAGATTTTCCATAGTTTCTGAGCTTGGGAGGTGACAGGATCTGTGCTTTAGGGAGCTTAATTTGGCCTCAGCACAAGATGGTGTACAGCTGGGAGACCAGGGCAAGGAGATGGTCAATAGTTCCATATCCACGTTGCTCATCCCAGCATTCGCTGATACTGTCAAAGCATAATGTCCTGCTATAATCAATAAAAATATATTTTAAGCCCTAACCGGTTTGGCTCAGTGAATAGAGTGTTGGCCTGCGGACTGAAGGGTCCCAGGTTCAATTCTGGTCAAGGGCATGTACCTTGGTTGCGGGGGTGTGCAGGAGGCAGCTGATCGATGTTTCTCTCATCATTGTTTCTAACTATCCCTCTCTGTAAAAAATATCAATAAAATATATTTAAATATATATGTATATATATTTTTTTTTCTTAAAAAAACCTTAGGGTTTCAAAAATATGTATATTTTTATGGATTTTAGAGAGCGGAAGAGAGAGGGAGAGAGAGATAGAACATCGATTGGCTGCCTCCTGCACACCCCATACTGGGGATCAAGCCCACAATCTGGGCATGTGCCCTGACCTGGAATCAACCACTGAGCCACACCAGCTGGGGAAGATCTTAGAGTTTTGGGGGCCAAAGGAGGAACAGTGTTCTGGAATTGACAGTGAAGCACAAAAGAGACCCTACACACTTCCAACCCAGGGGTGTGGGCTATGGGTTAAGGGAAGTAGAGTGCTTCCAAGAGAGAGGCAGGGCTCAGGTAAAGTAACCACTCCAGTCT